CAAACTGACTGTTTCATACCAGCCTCATCGACACCAATGTTCTGTGACATACCCAGGTATCGGTATGTTTCAGCCTCGGAAAGGGTCCTTAAGTTAACGGGCATAGATAAGTCTATGCCCTCAGAGTTAGCAACCCTACCCCTTTCAACATGGAGTACCGCACACTTATCCATCCCCAGCTCCATTCCAATGGAGTTGCTAAATTCACAAGTGATGTTTAGCAATTCCATAAGATGGGAGCGACTGGAGGCGAATAACTTGAGGTCATCCATATAGAAAAGGTGGGTCACTTTTGTCCCTCCTTTCCGTAGCTGAAATCCCCTCCCGGAGCCCTCCAGTAAGGTACTGAGAAGGTTCAGAGAGAGGCAGAACCATATTGGACTCAGACAATTGCCCTGGAAGATACCCCTTCTTATCCTTATGTGGTTCTCCGCAGCCATCATCCGCTCGCCCAGATGACAAATGATCGTACTCCACTGCCCCATACACTGCTCGAGGAAGTCTCTAACTGTACAGTCTATCTTGTACAGTTTGAGGACTCTCTTTAGCCATGTATGGGGCACCGAGTCGAATGCCTTTCTGTAGTCTATCCAGGCGGCGGAGAAGTTCCGACGGTTGCGTTTCACCACATTGCCAATGACCGCGCCAATGAGGAGTGGTTCCTTGGTTCCACGACCGCCGCCTCGACATCCATTTTGAGCGCGCGACATCACCTGATTTGAGTCCAGGTGACGAGTGATTCTCGCGCTCAAAATGGATGTTAGTGTCTTGTATATGGTCGGTAGACATGTGATGGGGCGGTATTTGCTCGGGTCTGTGGTACCCTGGCCTTTAGGAACCAAATGGGTGATCCCAGTAATGAAGAGGCTCGGGAGCGACTTCTGGTTGAGAGCCTCTTGAAACTGTCGGGCGAGCACAGTGTAACACACCACGAACCCCTTCAGCCAGTAGTGATGCAGCCCGTCAAGTCCCGGACTTTTCCAGTTCGGGGCCCTACGGACCGCCTCAGCTACGTCATTCGGCGTTATGGTGACGGGATCCATGGGCGTAATACCCGCACACTGACTCGCCACAACTTCCGTTTAAGGGCCCTCGCTGTGGTTTACGGGCTCTGACCACAGGCTGCGCCAGAATGCGACCGTGTCGGCCTGATTCGGTACTGGGCCCGTTCCACTTACCATTGGTCGCTCCAATGATTTATAGAGCCTCTTCTGATCACTCTGGAAGAGACGATTCTGGTTGAACCGTGTCGACCTCTCGGTATATCGCCGAATTCGCTTTCCCCAAGCAGCGATTCTCTGCTTCATGTCGTCTATGCGCTCCGTCAGTTTTTGCATTATATCCGGCTGGGACAGACTAACATTTGTCCCAGCAAAGGCCATCCTGACGGTGCGCACAATCCTTGGCCTGGTATTGCCTGACCTGAAGCATATCAGTCTGCCGATGAGGGCCCTAGCCTTTGCGATACGTTCTTCAATTCTTGTTCTCCAGGCTTGGATAGCACTACTTTGTCCAGTAGTGCGTCCAGCCGTGGAAAGTTTGGCGCCTATAATACGGCAGACTGCAAGTGCGGCGCCAAAGAGAATTGAGTCCGTCTCGCAAAGGTCCCGGCTGGCTTCCAAATAGGTCACCAGCATTGGGTTCAGAGCCCTCACGACAGCCCGATTCCGCTTGCTTAGGGCTATGCGGGGAAGTCGCGGTCGATTTTCGAGAGGCGTACTGCGCGTTTCCATAATCGCCTCTTCCAATGTACTCCTCATTTGCTCTATTTCTAGTTCCTGGGTGAATGTTCCATCATCATTTGAATCAGCAACCACTGGGGTATTCTCGGCGGCATCCACGTGTGCGGGTTGTTCTGCAACTTGTGGCACCGCACCCCCAGTCGTAGCGTTTTCATTTGATGAGGGAACAGCCTCACGTCGTAGCCGTTCGAGTTCGGCGCCATCAAATATATTTGAGCGTAAGATATACCGAACTCGGTCTGCTAGGTTTTGCTCGGTGACAGTAATAGATGGCTCCAGCTCGGTAAAAAGACGATGCATCCTAGCTCGATACGCGAAACCTCCAATTTCTCCCCCTTTCGCCCTAAAATACGCCCGCAATGCGTTTGAATTCATATTGATGGTCCATCGCATGCGGCGTACTCCACCAGTGGCGGGTGCCGATTACTGGGTTTGCGAAGACTCTGCCGACACCAAGCAAGCTGGTGGGGATGATGGATGCGAGGGGCTGCTGGGTGGTCGTGCAGCACCTCGCGCTCGGCTGGCGGTTCGCATGCTGTCGCGTCCAGCGCCAGGTCCAGACGCGCCCTGACGACCTCCAGGCAGCGGCCCTTCGCGCAATCTTCTGTGGTCCATCATCCATACAGGGCGTCATTTAACGGGAGACGCCCAGACCCGGCGCCGTTTCATGGTAAGGCCATATGCACAAGCGGGCCCTTGCACCATCAATTTTTGCCGAGGCACGGCGCTCACACCTCTTGGCAAGGTGCTGACTGACTGCGCGGACGTAGCGGTTTTGTCACATAACCGTCACGTCAGCGGGCGATGGTGTCGTCACTTCCCTACGCCATTATTATTATAATGGGGTATCTATATAGTTTTCTCATCTGGTTGGGTTCTATAAATATATAATTATAAATGAAAATGAAAAAATAAATATACATAAATATCAATAACATAAAATAAATATAAAAGTACATAAATAAATAAAAGCCCAACCAGATGGAGGCCCTCGGCAGGGGAGACCAAACGGCCGAGGGTTAGGGGGAAAGGGAAAGAAACCGGCGGACGATGCGGGCGGTATCGAGGAGCACCGCCTTCTACATTTGAACCTGGAGCGGTCCGCCACGTAGTCCCAGCCGCCACAGATGACCCGAGAGGCTGACTGGGATTAGCCCGTTTGCAGAGACGACTACAGGAATAATTTCGGTCGGCAGATCACCCCACATGTCGGTCACCTCGTGAGCCAGGTCCAGATATTTTGTTTGCTTGTCTGTTTCCGCTTTCACGAGGTTCTCGTCATACGGAATGGTAATGTCGACCAAAAATATCCTTGACTGTGCCCGGTCCATCAGCACAATATCAGGATTATTCGCAAGAATAGTCCTGTCTGTGATGATGGCCCGATCCCAATAGAGCCTGGCGCGATCATAATCGAGCACGGCTTCCGGCAAGTACTTGTAATACGGCAATTTCCGGTCCACGAGACCGTATTTCAGAGCAAGCTCCTGGTGTAGAATTCTGGCTACTAGGTTGTGCCTGTGCAAGTACTCAGAGTTAGAAAGCGCCGAACAACCGGAGATAACATGCCTAAGTGACTCACCGGGATGGCGACAAGCTCGACAGATGTCGACGGTGCCATCCTTTAGGATGTATCTCCGATAGTTGTTGGTCTTAATAACCTGATCCTGTATTGCACAGACAAAACCCTCGGTTTCCCCGAAGAGATCACCAAAGCGTAGCCAGTGGAGGGAGGCTACTGTGTCTACGAAAGGCTCATGTAGAGCCTTGTAGAACCTCCCGTGGAGCTCCTTCTCCTTCCATACGGTCTCTCGGTCGGAAATGCTCTGCACTGCCGGGTCTTGCCATTGCTCGTTGGCTAAGGATAGAGGGGTAAGTCCTTTATCACAAGAAATGACGTCCTTATAGAATGGATCATCCGATCTCGCCAGGAAGTAATCACGGAGGCTGCACACTTCGCGATTATGCATGGTGAGCGCGCTCAAGAAGCCACGCCCACCATGCTTTCGCGGCAAGTACAGCCTCATTACCGACGATCTCGGATGATGCATCCTGTGGGACGTCATGGTAGTGCGGACTTTTCTATCCAGGGCGTTAAGTTCAGTCTGAGTCCACCTGAGTATGCCAAAGGTATACATGAGGACAGGCATGACCCAGGCGTTATATGCGTGTGCCTTATTCACACCGGACAAAAGGCTGTTAAGCACTTTGGTCAAGCGTGCATAAAACACGTCGCAAACTGACTGTTTCATACCAGTCTCATCGATACCGATGTTTTGTGACATACCCAGGTATCGGTATGTTTCAGCCTCGGAAAGGGTCCTTAAGTTGACGGGCATAGATAAGTCTACGCCCTCAGAGTTAGCAACCCTTCCCCTTTCAACATGGAGGACCGCACACTTATCCGTCCCCAGCTCCATGCCAATTGAATTGCTAAATTCACAGGTGATGTTTAGCAATTCCATGAGATGGGAGCGACTGAGGCGAATCAACTTAGGTCTTCCATATAGGAAAGGTGGGTCACTGTTGTCCCTCCTCTCCGTAGCTGAAATCCCCTCCCGGAGCCCTCTAGTAAGGTACTGAGAGGGTTCAGAGAGAGGTAGAACCAGATTGGACTCAGACAATCGCCCTGGAAGATACCCCTTCTTATCCTTATGTGGTTCTCCGCAGCCATCATCCGCTCGCCCAGATGACAAATGATCGTACTCCACTGCCCCATACACTGCTCGAGGAAGTCTCTAACTGTACAATCTATCTTGTACAGCTCGAGGACTCTCTTTAGCCATGTATGGGGCACCGAGTCGAATACCTTTCTGTAGTCTATCCAGGCGGCGGAGAAGTTCCGACGGTTGCGTTTCACCACTTTGCCAATGACCGCGTCAATGAGGAGTGGTTCCTTGGTTCCACGACCACCGCCCCGACATCCATTTTGAGCGCGCGACATCACCTGATTTGAGTCCAGGTGACAAGTGATTCTCGCGCTCAAAATGGATGTTAGTGTCTTGTATATGGTCGGTAGACACGTGATGGGGCGGTATTTGCTCGGGTCTGTGGTACCCTGGTCTTTAGGAACCAAATGAGTGATCCCAGTAGTGAAGAGGCTTGGGAGCGACTTCTGGTTTAGAGCCTCTTGAAACTGTCGGGCAAGCACAGAGTGACACACCATGAACCCCTACAGCCAGTAGTGATGCAGCCCGTCAAGCCCCGGACTTTTCCAGTTCGGGGCCCTACGGACCGCCTCAGCTACGTCATCCGGCGTTATGATGACGGGGTCCATGGGCGTAATAAGTGTGCGGGACACTGACTCGCCACAACTTCCGTCCAGGGGCCCTCGCTGTGGTTTACGGGCTCTGACCACAGGCCGCGCCAGAATGCTACAGTGTCGGCCTGATTCGGTGCTGGACCCGTTCCACTTACCATTGGTCGTTCCAATGATTCATAGAGCCCCTTCTGATCACTCTGGAAGAGACGATTCTGGTTGAACCGTGTTGACCTCTCGGTATATCGCCGAATCCGCTTTCCCCAAGCAGCGATTCTCTGCTTCAGATCATCTATGCGCTCCGTCAGTTTTTGCGTTATATCCGGCTGGGACAAACTGACATTTGTCCCAGCAAACGCCATCCTGACGGTGCGCACAATTCTTGGCCTGTTGTTGCCTGATCTGAAGCATATCAGTCTGCCGATGAGAGCTCTAGCCTTTGCGATACGTTCCTCAATTCTACTTCTCCATGCTGGGATAGCGCTACTATGGCCAGTAGCGCGTCCAGCCGTGGAAACCTTGGCGCCTATGATACGGCAGACTGCCAGCGCGGCGCCAAAAAGAATTGAGTCCGTCTCGCAAAGGTCCCGGCTGGCTTCCAAATAGGTCACCAGCATTGGGTTCAGAGCCCTCACGACAGCCCGATTCCGCTTGCTTAGGGCTATGCGGGGGAAGTCGCGGTCGATTTTCTAGAGGCGTACTGCGCGTTTCCACAATCGCCTCTTCCAATGTACTCCTCATATGCTCTACTTCCAGTTCCTGGGCGACTGTTCCATCATCGTTTGAATCTACCACAACTGGGGTATTCACGGCGGCATCCACGTTTGCGGGTTGCTCTACCATTTGTGGCGCCGCATCCTCAGCCGTAGAATTCTCATCCGACGAGGGAACAGCCTCACGTCGTAGCCGTTCGAGTTCGGCGACATCAAATATATTTGAGCTCAAGATATACCGAACTCGGTCTGCCAGGTTTTGCTCTGTGACGGTTAAAGATGTCTCCAGCGCAGCAAAAAGACGATGCATCCTAGCCCGATACGCCAAACATCCAGTTTCTCCCCCTTTCGCCCTAAAATACGCCCGCAATGCGTTGCTGTTCATCTGGGTTGTCCAACGCATGCGGCGTACTCCACCAGAGGCGGGTGCCGATTGCTGGGCCCGCGAAGACCCTGCCGACACCAAGCCAGCTGGTGGGGATGATGGATACGAGGGGCTGCTGGGTGGTCGTGCAGCACCTCGCGCTCGGCTGGCGGTTCGCATGCTGCCGCGTCCAGCGCCAGCTCCAGACGCGCCCCGGCGACCTCCAGGCAGCGGCCCTTTGCGCGTTCTTCCGTATTCCATCATCCATAGTGGTGGGCGTCATTTAGCGGGAGACGCCCAGACCCGGCGCCGTTTCATGGTGAGGCCATGTGCACAAGCGGGCCTTTACACCTTCAATTTTTGCCGAGGCACGGCACTAACACCTCTTGGCAAGGTGCTGACTGACTGCGCTGACGTAGCGGTTTTGTCACATAACCGTTACGTCAGCGGACGATGGGGTCGTCACTTCCCTACGCCTTTAATTTTATATATTATTATTATTATTATTATTAATGAAATATCAACAATAAAGGGGTTAAGACCCGCCAACTCCCTGGTAGACCGATGAAGGAAAGGAGAGGAAGCAATAAAGCATTTAATTCTTGCGCACACTGTATTAACCTTTAATCGTACTACGCCCGCCGTAACAAAAAACAGCTTTGTAACGGGGCCTCAGTCGTCACCTCAACTGGTGGCACTTGTTATAAACATTTATATTTCTCAAGACCTTTCCTTTACGTTTAAAGAGGTTTTAGTTACAGTTATTTGAAGCCGATAAGATTTTCGATAAGTAGAAACAATAACCATAACATTTAAATGTTTATTTTATTTTGTACAGCTCTTTGTTTCTAACGGATCTTAATAAAGTGTACTTACTGACAATAAATTTTATTTTATGAATGAAATATCATAAGTTTTTATTTTATTTTTATGTTCTTACAATCAATACAACATATTCTTCCTAAATGAACCGAAATTATGCATGTAATAATTATAATAATTCTACTTTTTCACTTGCAAACATTTGCTAAAAATTCGACAATAGACAGTTTGCGCGCGCTTTGTAAACTCATTTTCAAAACCTTTTTGTGTATATATTTTATACGTCTTCCTTTATTTTTCTTATACAATCATATAGATATAACATTTAGCAATTCCTAGTAAAAGTATATACTATGGTATTCCAATAAGAAATATACTATTATTATCTTATTAGAATCTTATTAGAAATCTTGACCGTTATGAATTGTTCGCGTAGAGGTTTTTTGTTTCTACTTTTTTATCAATTGAAACATGAAAAAGTTACTGTTGTTGTAACTTAAATCATTCAAAAACATTACTTAGTAAAGATAAATAACATTACTTACAGTTTTTTTGAAAGAAAATCCAACTAAAATCACAATCACAAAACTTTTTTTTTTTTTTTTATATAGGATAGGGTGACAATCGAGCACACAGTCCACCTGATGGTAAGTGGTTCCTGTGGCCCATAGACATCTACATCTATCCTCGATTACGAATCAAAATGCAGATGTGTTGTCACCCGTGAGGACTAAGATGGAATGCCTCATTTCCAGTAAAATGGGTCGCCGGTTCTCTACACTCACCATACGAAATACAGCAGCATTAAGATACTATTTCACGCTGGTATTCTGTGAGAGCATGGTCCTTCCCCGGTCGAGCCGACCCACTCGTGCTACAACTATACATCTAATATAACTGCAGCATGGCTCTACCACGTATACTTCAACGATTACGCAACTAACTAACCGCACAGCGTAAAATCGAATGGCTGTTATATTTGATTTTGTCTATGTAACCGAGTGAATATAATTCTTCAGAATACTCTTTAGTTCGTTCAGAATCGAATGAAATAGTGTTCAATCGAAAATATGCTGTATTTTTATATCAATTAATGACGAAAATAGCAGACCGTAATGCGGACATGCATACATGTCCTCTGTACTCAGCGGTCACAACACGTGGACAGTCTCATATGTCCTCGGTACATGAAGGGAGGCCGTAGAGTTCGTCTAGTTATATGCATAGAAGTCTATAAATGGTAGTAAGAAACTTGCCAGCAGCAAAGAAGTAGTCGAGTATGTTAGCCCGCTCGTAGGAGAATCCGTCGGCGGCGCGCGCGGGTTCGCGCAGCAACGCGTGTGTCATCGCGCAGCGCAGCACGTGTGGCGCGCACGCCTCCTGTGACATCATTCGAAATTCTTGTTAAATAAAAACTCAACAACTCGATATTTTTACACTATCCCCTGAAATTCGAGTTATTGAGATTCCACTGTATATTGCTTAGAAGTTATTGTCCTATAACAACGTAATAAACTCGCATCTTTATAACCGATAGTTTTACGAGCCATGCTGCAATTATATTATGGTTGTAGCACAAATGGATTGCCTTGACTGAGGAAGGACCAAGCTCTCACAGAATACCAGCATGAAATAGCAGCCTAATACTGCTGTGTTTCGTATTTGGTGTAAAAAACCGGAGATCCCTTTTTACTGAAAACAGTGCATTTCATTTTAGTCCTCAGGGATGATAACGTATCTTATTCTTAATCGATGATAGATGTAGATGTTTATGGGCTACAGCATCCGCTTACCATCAAGTGGATTTTATGCTCGTTTGTTACCCCTATACTATGAATAAATAATCTACCCGGGTTTACTTTTAAGCATACTTGCTTTGCATATTCTGGTTTTCATGTAATGTAAAAGTGACTTATGTTTTAATGATAAATTAAGTTCTTTAAACCGAAGTAATCCGATAATAGATTCTGTGGCCCATACACACGTATACCTATCATCAATTAAGAATCAAAATACGGATGAGTTGTCAAATGTAAGTACTATTACCAAAAGTGAAGTTCTTCGCTTCTTTTTACTAACCATGAGTAACACAGGTATTCTATGCGAGCGTGGTACTTCCACAATGGAGCTGACTCATTCTTGCTGAACTCGTAATACAGCTGCGGCGTGACAACACCACGAAATCAATCAAGTCAGCTTTATTTGTTTTTATCTGTATTGATTTATTTCAAAGACAAGCCATAAAATAGTTCAAAAAATTCAAACTTTTTATTAAATATATTATAAAGCATAAATATTCTGCCTCTTCTAAACAAAATATTTTGTACTATCTTTTACTCACGACTGTCCGCATAAAACTTAAAAAAAAAGCAGATCTATAATAGTATTTATCAATTATCGAAATCACTTTAAACTCGACTGTTTGCGATTATCACGAAAACTATGTATTTTTATTATTGTTACGAGCTTGAGGTTCGTAACAATAAAAATTGCCGATAGAATTACCTAAATTAACACTTTAATTTTCTTTACACAAATTACTTACTTACTTACTTACTTATCTTCACGCACAATCCCTAACGGGGTAGCCAGAGAGAACAGATCGCCAAGTGTCACGATCCTTACATACCTCTTTCGCTTCTTTCAGGTTCATTAACTTCTTCATACATGCACGTCTAGGTATCCGAGTACTCTTGACCCTCCCCTCTTCGAGCAATTTGCTCACATCGTCTTCGAAAGTTAGTCTCGGTCTACCTCGACACCTTTTAATATTTACTTTCGCTCTATATATTTTCTTCACCATTCGGTCTTCACTCATTCGTTAAACGTGCCCAAACCATTGGAGTACGCCCCTATCAATTTTTTTTACACAAATTAAAACTTAAAACACTAATTATTCACACTGATTCACCTTATTCCGCTCCGAAGCTTCGCTTGTCTCGCCAAATTCAATACTTCCTCGGTCGCGTCTTGCAGCACGGAAATATAAATTAGCACGGAAATATCCAGAATATTCAAGTAAACACGCGCAAGGTACCGAGAGTTCGAGTTTCAACTAGGCGCTAGTGCCGTCGATTAAGGCGCGTAACATTATTATTTTATATTTCTTTACTTTATGTTTTTATTTATTTTTGAACAAATTTATCTCTAGCTTTTAAGGGTTTATAAAAGAACATACGTGGCACACGCTATAAGAGAAACCTTCTTAAAACTTCGATAGAATGAGATGAATGCAGAGTATCAGGAGTAGAATAATTGTAGGATTTGTGCAATTAAAATATGAAATACATTTATAAAAAACACTGTATTCTGTATTCTGTCTCAATCTCTCGCAGACTTAGCTCTATAGATGTAAATTTTTATCTCTTTTAGTGACGCTTTTTCGTTTCATCGAGTTCCAAATTACATTAATTCTGAAAAGTTTTGAAAGCATTGTGGAGCAGTTGCGTTCTTACGAGTTTCACATTGGGAGGTTCTCGTCGCAACCACCGAAGCTCATCTTGAAGTCGGGTGCGCAGTTGTTTATTTGCTTCTACATCCAAATCAATGTCTGATACATCCAGTTTTTCTTCAAATTCTGCTTCTGATTTATTATATTCTTCAAAGTCGTCTTTATCGTCTAAATTTGTGTTTTTTTCCAAATCTTCAGTAAATTTACATGCTGAAATAAAAATGATTTGGAGTTAATTTTCTCATAGAAGATTTCGTTATTCTAATTTTCTACACAAATGATTACTTCTACACAATTAAAAAGATTATTAAGTTTGGGACAGGTGATCTGTTACTCTCGTGAATTTACGATTTATGTGAAATTTTCGTCATCCAGTTATGAGTGAATCAAATTTATTTCTTCGAATATATAATTATCTGCGTAATTATACATGCCATGCAAGACGAGATGGTTGCTTGCACTATAAATACATTAAAGTGTTTGTAGTGGCTAACTATTTTATGTGATAAGACTTTAAAGCAATTCACACAGTATCACAAGGACAGGATCCTGGATCCACGGGATTCTTACGTAGTACATGTATTGAGTATTATACTGGCCGCGTACTAACGAGACTACTGTAGATGTCGTAGATGTCGTAAGAGACGCCTTAAATAATCTAGCCATAGCCTCAATAAACTAAGATACGAGTTTATATTACCGTCTTTGTATAAAGTACAAGTAGTTGGTTACCATCACTACTGAGTACAGACCTCCTGTCATTTCTCATAGGGTAATAGAGTAATTATTACGTCGCTCTAGTGCGTGTTGAAGCCTTAAAATGATCTCGAAACATTTTATTTCTAAGATATGAAGAAGAAAGATTGAAGTATTCCTTCAATGCCGAGCACCGCGTAATTAAAATTACAATTAGCGTACTGTGAGATTTGCAGACAACAACAGGACTTACTATGTTTCTGCATGTGTCTGAACAAAATATTGCATTAAAATTATAATAGGTTTTTTAAGTACTAAACTTAATAATAATTATAATTATAAAAAGTAGGTAAACAAATCATAACATTGTGAGTAATACTATTGTTTTTCCGTGAAGTGGCAATACGCTTGCCACAAAGCTCAAAAAACCGACAAACGATGGAGATGAAAGGTTCTCAATTGGCAGGCAGTATGAGATACATTTAAATGCATGTTAGTTGATAGATTCTGGTGGATAAAACCATGTTGCTATTTTTAACAGTTTAAAATATAGCCTATTTTCATCCCAATGCCTGGCACAGGCCTCCTCTTATTTTTGCGAGGGTTTTCAGCAATGAACTCAAAAAACTGTAATGATAATTATTCCCTTTCAAAGCGAGAGTCCCATGTCTACCTATGAACTATTTGAGGGTAAACAGAAAAGATCTGTTAATAAAATGTATAAGGGAATATTAGAAGTGAATCAGAGTAATACATAAAGAGGATCCTCGAACTGAAGTGGTAATGGGCTTGCCATAGATATAGCTCGAGCATCAAACAACTAATGACGCAAAGAAGCGTTTTGAGTGAAACCCGTCCCCCCACTCGGGCTCATGAACGTGATTTCTCGTCTTTGCAGGAAGGTTCTGTTAAGTGGTAATTTAATATTTTTTAACTATCTGCAATTTTATAATAATGGAGAAAGAATGAAGAAATTATATGATTACGTGGTAGAAGTAAGTGCATCAGCTCGTCGACAGGATCGTCCAGCAGCTGCGCTCCTGTGAGCCCGGCGTCACGTGCTCGTTGCACCAGCGTCATCTCCGTGTCAATGCTCACTTCAGCGCCTTGGTTATTAGAAATTATATATGCAACTTTAAATGTCGAAAATTAATGTGAGTTATCTATGCTCGTTTGTTACCAACACGTTGGCTAGATGTAACTAGTACCTAGATGTTACCAATAATCGATATTCCTGCTTAAATTATGAAGTTTAATAATTTTTACCTTCAGGAAAAAATTGAAGATTGAACGGCTTAATAACTAGTTCTTGTGTAACAGATTAAATATTATTAAGGAATTTGCAGATAAATTTCAATTAAATAAGCGTAGTGTGCCGTGTGATCTGCGATATGCGTGTTCCGTCCTGTAGGTGTCATAAGAGCCGATTCTGGGACATTCCAGAAAAAAAATTTTGTCAGAAAAAAACCACAATAGTTGTTTATCATAGTTGCCACGCTTGACAGGCTTATTAGCAACCGCAGTTTTTTTATTATTTTAAACGGTGAGCAGAAAGATGCCAGTCTCCATCTCCTGCTTTAATTTCCTCTGTTGCCTCTTACAACACTCACGGGATATTTTCAGATGGTAAATTCTCACAATAATAGGGTAAAGTTACATATATTTATAAAGAAATTGAAGAGATTTAAAGCCATGACCCAACACGCAGTAGTATATAATCTGATCATCTAGCCACGTGACATCATAAACCTTAACTACAGTAAAAACTTAAAGTTACAGCCTACATACGTCCCTCACGTACTATGTCACTGCTGGGCACAGGCCTCCGTTCATTTCTGAGAGGGTTTTAGGGCAAGGAATTGTCCGCCGTGCTGCCTCAATACGTGTTGGTGAACTTCACATGTCTTCGAAAATTTTTTTTCTTACTTCTCTGACATGCAGGTTTCCTCACGATGTTTTCCTTCACCGCCGAGCATGTGGTAAATCAACACTTAAAATTGCAATTAACAATTTTCATTGGTACCGGCAGGAATCGAACCCAGTTTGCTCGCGTACTGTGAAATTTACAGCGAGCGCTAACAATGCAAATATGAATTATGAGAACGTACATCTACTCTTTATTAAGTACATCTGCTTTATCAAAATTCCTTCTTTTATAAAATAACAAGTAACATCTTATATATAAAAATTATAATACATAAATAACTATATATATATATATATATATATATATATATATATATATACAGGATGTTAGTGTAAACACCGTTGTCCTTGAAACCAGTGGTTTGGTTTCACTTATAGAACGTAAATTCAATGAAAGATAACAACATTTTTTTTAAGTAAAATCTCAATTTTTGCCTGTCCTAAGTCAGGATGAAAGTACGAAGGAAAAGTTACATCACGGGTTATGTGTACCTATTAAGTTTTTATGTTGAATGTTGTGTAGGCAGCTAGCGCGGGCGGTGATCTTTACAGTGATTACGTCACTCGGGCGCATGGGATATCCATGAATTTACGGATGGTTTCGGACAGAAACTTTTTAAATTTTATGACAGAAAATAGCGTTTTTTTTTTTAATAATTTCACATTTTTTTTAATAAATTCACGTTCTATAAGTGAAACCAAACCACTGATTTTAAGGATAACGGTGTTTACACATACATATTTTATACGTTACAATATATAAATATATATATATATATATATATATATATATATATATCCCTCTTGGCATAAAGCGTTTTAATTTTAAATTCACTTCCACTAACTGCCATTTTAAATTATTATAACAAAGTTATTAATCACAATTAATCTCACACGAATAAACGATGGACGATGGACGCTCGGTATGCCGTATTACGTAATTAAATCGAACACCTGCTACAGTCGAGGCGATGCGTTGCTTGCTAACTCAATGTTTTTATAAAGATTGTCGGGTAATCGTACCAAACGGTTGCTATCACACAGTTTCAATTTTAAACCTTAAATTTAACCAAATACGAGCGCTATGAAATAAACAATTCTGTTTGCGAGTACCTAATCAAAATTTAAACGTACACTATTTACACTATTTACGAACACTAATTATTCGACCAGAAAATGGTTGGATAACCACTAAACACCAATCCAAATCCTGCCCGAAGTGAACATAAAATGGTGGAGCCACGTGTTTAAGGCTGCCGAAGTCTAGTTCCCCGGTCGAACCTTAAACCTATTGCGCGAAATATTAATCTAAGTGGACTGTATCTACTAATGCTTCTACACTTATATATGCGGTACAATGCACTGGCTCTTCCCAAAAAAACGAACTATTATTTTGCCAAATCGATGAAAGGAATCCTGCTTGATTGGGAAAACACAAAATTGGAGCGGGTTAAAACAACTATATCAAGCAGAAAAATACTATTAGGAAAATGTTGACTCACCGGGATGTTTCTTCTGTGCGGTCGAGCACTATAACTGCGACTTCTGGAACACTCCGGAGAGGGGCGGTGCGCGACTATATCTCACACGAGGTGAGGCGGGTTTCCTGGAGCTCGACTGCTTCCAGGCTAAAGCGGTTCTACTAGTAGTGTTTCCAACAACGAGCGCGGCGGGAAGAGAGCTCTTTAGAACACTATTATCCTAGGCGGTGTAGTTGCAACGATGAGCGCGGCGGGAAGAGGCCACGCGTTGGTCGCGCGTGTCTTATATATCCTCGGTTCCGATGATTACGTGATGTTCTAGAATCATCTTCTTTCCCCTCCCACCCCACCACCCCGATGTGTCGATATGAGGGTACGAATGATATCGTTTTGGAAAGGGATAACCGATTTGGCAGCCTACCGTCAAATAAAATAAATACGAATGGTTTTCCGCGCAACATTCTCCCCCGCCCTTGAAGGATCTCCTTCAAAAATAACTAAAACAACTAGAGCTAAGATCAACTAACAAATAACTAACTAACGCTAAGATTACCTAAATTCAACTACAATTTTAATCTACAAAGCTAATTTAAATTATGGAAGAGGCAAGGGGCACAAACGGACAACAGGACGCAGGTAAGACCCAACCGTGGTCTTAACGCGAGCTATCCTAATTACTCCGTCGGAACCGGGAAAGACCTCTTCGACAATTCCTAACGGCCAATGGAGAGGTGGCGTAATCTCCTTAGTGAGCACAACTACAGTCCCTACAGCTAAAGGCTCAGTCGCTGTGTTCCATTTTTGCCGAGACTGCAAAGTATGCAAGTATTCCATCCTCCATCGTTTCCAAAACGATTGCACTAACCGGTCTAATAATTTGTGGCGTGCGGAAATGCTAAGTCTGTTCTCATCCATATCTGCGGCGGGCAAATACTTTAAAGGCGTTAAATTCAAAAAATGTGCTGGAGTTAGAGCCAGCGGTTCCGAGGGGTCACTAGACAACGTCCGACAAAGTGGGCGGCTATTCATTACGCATTCAATTTGAGCGAGCACCGTACTTAGCTCTTCGAAGGACAAAATTTGATCTCCTATTACTCGGTATAAGTGATTCTTTAGACTCTTAATATTGGTCTCCCAATTGCCTCCAAAATGACTCGCGGCTGGGACGTTCAGAGACCACTCAATGCGGTTCTCGGCTAGAATGTGAGTGAACTCCGAATTATAATACTTGCTAGCTAAGAGCTCATGTAGTTCCGATAGAATACGTTTTGCACCGACGTAGTTCGTACCGTTATCCGAATATAATTTACTTACAGGGCCTCTACGGGATAGAAATCTTTTAAATGCACCCATAAAGCCAGCTGTGCTTAGATCACCAACGAGTTCTATATGCACCGCTCGAGTAGTTAGACATACGAAAATGCAGACGTAAGCCTTTGTGGATCTTATACCACGCCCGCGAGTGAGCGTGACCTTAAACGGACCAGCGAAATCCGACCCGATGTGCGTGAATGGCTTTACCGATTATATTAATCTACAAGATCTAAGTTCCGCCATTTCCGGAAATGACGGCTTGGGGCGTGCCCGAAAGCAAGCTATACATCTGTGCACCCGATTGCGTATTAAACTACGTGCAGAAAGAATCCAATAATTCTGACGCAAAATCGACATCAACAAGTCGGGGCCAGCGTGCGAGTTCAATTTATGATGGTAATCGACTAATAAGTTCATGATATGGTCTTTACGCGGTAAAACTATAGGGTGCCGTTGGTCGAAACTCAACTGCGAGTTGGACAAGCGTCCACCTACCCTAATCCCATCCTGTAAAAATGGCTTAAGGCGTTGAAAGGCGCGACTACAAGCTCTATTCGATTGTAATCTTGTAATTTCTTCAGAGAAATGCGCACGTTGAAGTTCACGTAATACTAGCGACTCGGCATAGTTGTAATCGGACGCTAAGACATACGAACGTCGCGGTAAAAGTTTCGCGAATCGACAAACGTAAATTACGCTACGCAATAATTTCGACCAAGAGGACAAGCGGTTCGCCAAAGCAATAATTGGAGAAACCTCGCTCGAAACGTTCGCCACTAGAGCGTGTCTCTTCTCTTCCGGCGGTTGTGACACTGACGAAGGTTCGAAATCGGTTATCGGCCATTGTGAGGGATCCAAGTGAACCCAAGAAGGTCCATGGAACCAAAGCGGGTGGTCCATTATTTGCATCGGGGTGAGTCCCCGGGATAGACAATCGGCAGAGTTTTCCGTACCTGATACGTGATAAAAGTTCCGCGTTTCTAACTCGTCTTGGATCTTGGCCACTCGGTTCGTGACAAACGTATCCCAACGGTGGGGCGAAGAATGAACCCAGCATAAGGCGACGGTGGAGTCGGAAAAGGCAAATATCCTTTCTATGTGAACTCTATCCCTACATGCGCTGATAACTGCGGTAATAAGCTTGGTGAGTACCAATATTGCGCAAAGCTCTAAGCGCGCCAGAGAGACAACCTTACGGGGGGAGACTCTCGACTTAGAACTAATGAGGCTAATCGAATTTCTACCATTATTCTGAACGTGGAAATATACAACGCCCCCGTAAGCCTTCTCGCTGGCGTCTGCAAACCCAACGACCGTTATGACGCTATTTCTATCGACGTTTATATGACGCGGTATTCTAATTTCTCTTAGTAAAGGAAGTTCCT